AGGACTCAGGTCTTCCTGGTACCTAAGCTGAGCCTAAAGCATCCTTAGGATCCTAAAAGCTAAAACAGAAGATAAATACTAGAAAAGAAAGGCTTATGATTAAGAAATGTGCCAACTGATTATTTTCTAACATATAAGAAAGTCACTTCTATAAAAAGAAAACTACAGTTCATGCTAGCAAGTTTAATATATGAACAATATTTTGATTAGGAATAAAACTGTGAAAATGAATATCAAAAGGAATATTTAGATCTGCTATTCCAGGCTTCCAATTCTTGGCAGCCGGCTGGCTAATAAAAATGCAAGGGGTAGTTGGCAAGACTATATAGGCTATTGAGATATTTACAACTACTAGGGTCTAAAAAAAATTTTTTAACTTTTTTTCAATATTTGTATTAAATATACAAATAAAGTTTTCTAATTATTTAATATGAAATTTCTTGCTCTATTACTGAACTCAGGAAAAAAAGATACTATTTAAATGGAAAAGATAAGCATGATTATTGATTTCAACTTAAAGACAGCTAAATGAAAAGCAAGCACAGGTATTGCCAAGAATCTCTTTCAATCCAGTAGTAGTCAACATAAGACTATTCATGAACCCTAATCTCATTTGAAATAAATGATTTATTTAGGCTCCAATTTATCATATTCATAGTTAAAAGTGTACGGCTTACTGTGGTCTTTACCAGCAATTTTCTGATAACATCTATATCTGGTCATAACATTTAGTGACAATGTTTCTGTTTCAGATATTTCACATGCTAAATTAAAACATATATATCCATCTGAGGACAGAGAATAAAAAACACAGCTTGCAGAATTCATTTTCCACAAATTATTTGGATTTTTAATTTTTCTGGGCTAGATTATTAGGACACATTAATAAAGGGATTTTTTGGTAAAGGAAATGTAGATTTCTAGTATGTACAACTAACTTCTTTATGGATCCAACTCTTCCACAAATACAACTATAATTTCTGGACAAAATGCAAAACAAACAAAAAAAACAAAAGCGCCCAGGTGACCATAAATAGGAAAACGGCTCGGCAAACTGTGATACACGCAAACAGCAGAGTATGACTGAGCAATTAAAAACAAGAACCACTGAGACAAGAAACAACATGGTGAATCTCGAAACCATTAACTTAAGCAAAAAGAGTCTCACACAAAAAAGTACATATGGTATGATTCCTTTTATGTGGAACTCTCAAAGAAACAAATCTAATCTATAGTAGGGAAATAAAGCAAAACAGTGGTTGCCTCTGGTGTTTTAGGCAACTGACTCTGAAGGGGCACGTAGAATTTTCAGTAGTTTGACAGGGGGTTTTGAGTTACACAAGTGTATGCATTTGTCAAAACTCAGGCAAAGTACAGTTAAGATTTGCGTACGTTATGACCTATAAATTTTACCTCAAAAGAAAAAAATGCAAAATATTGAACTCTATTTATGACATGCATGATAAAGTATTTAGGGGGACAGTGTACTGATGGCTGCAATTTACCTTGAAATGCATCAAAAATAAGACAGACTAATGAACAGAGGGGTACAAATAGATGAATAAACATGTGACATAGCAAATACACTAAAATATTAAAGGCAAAATCTTGGTGTGGATGGATATAAGAATATTTACTGTAAACTTCTTTCAAGTTCAAAATTTTTCATAAAAATGTAAGAGGCCCTCCCCGCCCAAAAAAGAAGATAAATGACACTAGATTAATTCAGAACAACTCCTGTCTGACTATCATCATTTCCTTTCTTATTTTAAAAGGCTTACTACCAGACTGGTGAATCAGAGAAAGACAACTGACAACATATTTGGACCTCAATAAATTTGGATCTCTCTTTATATTCTGATCAAAGCAAAAAAACCCAGATTGCATAAATAATAACGATAATATTAAATATATTATAACAGAATTAATGATACAATAAATATTTAGTTAACAATATAATATATAATTAATACATAATTGTAACATACAATTATACAGTATTATTATATAACGATAAAATTGTTGTGTACAACACTCTACTAGACCGCCTCCTAGCCCTTCATATGTATTAACTATTTAATCTCTGCAAAAGTCCTATGGGGTAAATACTATTATCCACATTTTACTAACGGGGAAACTAAAGGCATGCATATGCTAGGTAATTTGCTCAATGTCACATACTTAGTAAGTGTCAGAGCCAGAAATTAGAATTCAAAGAGTCTGGGTCAGAACCCCTGCTCTTAACAACTTCCCTGTGATTGCTCTGTTAGTTGACTTCATAACTGACATAATATATGGCATTCTTAAGTTTGTGGATGACATGAAACTAGGAGCAAAAGCAAATATGTTACTTTACAAATTATCCAAAAAGATTAAGGGTCATACGCATAAGAGACTGTAACAAGATAAAATTCTATAGGGATCAAATATAAGATCATGCATTTGAGTACAGAAAACCAACTATACCTCCAGTGAGAGCACTGGTACACAGCAGGTTTTTGGCAAGAATCTGTCAAATGAAAATATGATTGAATGACAAAATAAAGAGAATGTGTGAAACAGAGACACTTTAATAAACCAAAAGCAAAATATGAATTTAATAAATAATGCTATAAAATGCTAATATGTAATTATGTTATCTAGCAGTAGGTTAAATGAGAGCCCTACTACAAGACTATTGGGGTCAGACCAATTCCAGAAATACTGTGTAAATTCCTGGGAACTACATATACAGGTAAACTGGAACAAGTTTAGAGCAAAAGTGCAGAACATAAACTGCATTATTTCAGGTATAACTGAAGAAGATGTGAACATATAATGTGGAGAAAAGAATTCAAGTGAACAGGGTAACAAACTTCAAAATGTAAGGTACTATTATAAAAAAGAAGGATCATAATTATTCTGTAATTGCCCTTAAGAATAAAAATAAAAACCGCCAACTGGGATTAGCTACAAGGGTTTCGGGAGAACAAATTCAGTGCCAACACAAGGAAGACTTTTCCGACAGATAGGACCACAAAAAGAAGGCGGGGAAGAAGGAACGACCTCACAAGGGTATGAATACCCTAAACGGGATAAGGATAACGCAGTGAAAGATTAGACCAAAATGACTTAAAGATCTCACCCAAATCTAAGAACTTACTATATAATAAAAGGTAATTTTTACACATTTCTGTCACAAAGAGTTCCAGGTTGGTTAAAATAGATACCATTCACCAAAACACACTCGCAATGATAAAACTTAAATGTGAAGAAAAAATAAAAGTTATTTGTCAAGTCTGCAAATGGGGAGAGCTTGAAGATGAAAAACATCGGAAGAATATTCAAAAGAAAGGAAAAACAAACTTGGCTACATCAATACTTAAAACTTTCACATATAAAAATATTAAAAGGCAAAGAGTAAGCTGTGCAAATTAGGACAAATGGATTATATCTAATATTCAGCTACGCTATACAGGACAGTAGCCACAAGCTACATGTGGCTATTGCAATTCAAATTAATTTAAATTGATCTTCAATCGATTAAACACTAAAAATTTACTTCAATTGCCCTGGCCACATTTCAAGTGGTCAATAGCCACTCTGGCTGGTGGCTACTGTATCGAACACTGAAGATACAGAACATCTCCATCATTGCAGAAGTACTATTGGAACTTTAATATTTAAAACAGATTAATTTAGTTCAGGGAATTCACTATATAGTTAATCGAAGAGCTGAGATGCCGATAGGCATTGTTGTGCAGGAATCCAGAGACGAGGAACAACAGGAAGCCATTACTATCCCTAGGAAAGAGGACAGAGTGCAGAGTCCAAAACCCAACATCACCCGGCAAAAGCTGGGATCATAGCAGGTGTGTTGGGTGGGGGCTGGAAACCAGGACAGGAAGCAGCCCCTGCTGGATAAACACCCTGTCGTAAAAAGAGGGGAAGAAATATCCCGACTCCTCTCCTCCTCTGCCCTCCAATCTCCTGCCAGCACCTTCTATGGCTGAATCCAGACACGACCCAAGAGGAGCGTGGGAAATGCAAACCATTAGGGTCAGACCCTCTGTTAAAAAGGGCAGAACAGGGAAAAAAGAACTAGGAGGTCAAACAGGCTAAAGCCTGGCACAGGTACAAGGAGAGAATTTAAAGAAGAAAACCCACAAATGCCCAACATCTAAGAAATGTCCAACCTTACCTGTAATTAAATATAAATTAGAACAATTACTATTAAAACAAAATAATATTAAACTAACAATAATAAATGATAACACAGGTACTTCGTGCTGAAAAGGATATGGCGAAACCAGACACACTCATACACTCCTAGGGAAGGAAATCAAGTCTCAAAATTTTTCAGAGAAGTTTGAACAAATTTGCAATTAGCATCAACAATATTTTAACTGTTTACACTGTTAAACCAAATGAAAGCAGGTCCAAGGATAAAATCCAAAGTCCAGAAAAATCTCAATTTCAGAAAATAATTTGAGAAACAAGGTTGTTCACTGCAGCTCCATCATATTGAAAAAAAATGAACAACCTCCAAGTTGGCCAGTAAGTCAGCAGTTATGTAAATTAAGGTATGTTAAAAAAACAACAGTAAGATAAAATAAATTAAGGTACATTTATCCATTTATTAAAAAATAACGAGTGCTTCTTGCCAGCCACAATGATAGGTACTGGAAGTATAAAAAAAATGAGGCAGTACTAATAGACTAATTTGTATCCATTTAAATAATGTTTAGAAAGAGTTTCAACAAAGTAAGGATGGGTTTATGACATGCCTACTGAATAACATTGAATCTGAAATTGATTATACTCACATTAAACAAAATATGCCGAAAGGTTAGTAACAGTGATTAGCTCTGAGCGGTAATTTTATGAGGTTTTATTTTTCCTTCTTTATACTTTTCTGAACTTTCAAAATTTTCAAAATGAATTTTACAGTTCTCCTTCAGAGCTATTAATGCAAGTTACAGTTTAAGAACTGTAAACTCTCCACAATAGTGCTAGTTTACCTGTTGCAATAATAAACCGCATTATTTGGATCCAGTTCTATTGCCTGTGTGTAACAATCCACAGCCGCAGCAAAATTCTCTTCTTTCATGTGGTTATTGCCTGAAATAATCAATATGTACAGTAAATACAATATACACAAAAAATATAAAGTCCAAAAGATAAATGTGAATCACAGAAACTACAATAATATGAAGGTCAGCAAGATGATTTTTCTTTTTTTAATTTTTTTATTTTATTTTTTTAAAGATTTTATTTATTTATTTGACAGAGATAGAGAAAGAGAACACAAGTAGGCAGAGCGGCAGGCAGAGGGAGAGGGAGAAGCAGGCTTCCCGCGGAGCTGGGAGCCCGATGCGGGACTCGATCCCAGGACCCTGGGATCATGACCTGAGCCAAAGGCAGACGCTTAACCAACTGAGCCACTCAGGCGCCCCAATTTTTTTTTAAGTAAACTCTGTCCACAGTGTGGGACTTGAACTCACGAACCCGAGATCAAGAGCCACATGTTCTAAACTGAGCGAACCACACGCCCCATCAACATGATTTTTCAGGGGCACTAGAGATAAATGTTGTATCGTACTATACGGTTGATACTCCTCAGCCGTCAGTGTGTTTGAATGATTTTAATAATGCAAAGTCTTAAAATAATTAATGTTTGCATACCTTATAAAATCCAGGTTTCAATCAGTGAGTAAATGCAACAATTATGAATATCTCGCGGCAAAATCGAATCTCTTCTCACCTTCCTTGTCTTCATCTCTCTCCTTTCTTTTTAGAGCTGCCCACCCCATTCCAGATGCAACACCCTTCTCAGCCATCATCTCAATCTGGACACCCTCTTCCACTCCTTCCCTGTCAAAACATACACCTGCTGAAAAGCCAAGCCCTCAGAACTCTGTTGTGTGGGGAAGCTGGTAAAATTAATCATGTTAATATATTATTGGCAGATATTTTTATGTGCTACTCCTTCCAGAGATAGATTTTTAAAAGGGGATTGTTGGACATTAATTTCTAGAAAGAATTTCAGATACCAGGGCTAGCCCACAGGGTACTAATCATCAAGAAGGGCATCTACAGATACATCTGGCAATAATTTAGCTAGCGTTAACAACGGGCCAGCAAAATAAGGGATTTCCTATGGCTATCTTCTGTATTGCATGAAATGGAAAAAAGTGTCCTGCTCACTGAAGAACCACCATTCAAAATCTAAATTTTAAAACACTGCTTAAGAGGAAGGATTAAATCACAAAAACCTGAATTATTCCTTCCGACTTTCTCTAAACCAGAAGCTATTAGCTTGGTCTTTTAATAGATCATTGGCTACTTAATAGGAAGAGGAGGGTATATAACTTTATGAGGAACAAGAGCAGGAAGATTAAAGGAAACACAGATAGACAAAAGCATCTAAAATCATGCAAAAGTGGGGCAACTGGGAGGCTCAGTCTGTTAAAGTCTGACTCTTGATTTCAACTCAGGTCATGATCTCAGGGTGAGATCAAGCCCCTGCATCAGGCTACATGCCTAAAATTCTCTCTCTACCCCTCCACACCTTTCTCCCCATAATTAATAAATAAATAAATAAATAAATAAATAAATAAATAAATAAATAAATAAAATCATGCAAAAAGTCACTGCAAATTAAGAATCAGAAGTGAATATAAAGAGTGACCACTAGAGGCACCGGGGTAGTTCAGTTGGCTAGACATCCGACTCTTGATCTCCACTCAGGTCATGATCTCAGGGTGGGGGGATTGAGCCCCACGTGGGGCTGTGCACTGAGCGTGAAGACTGCTTAGGATTCTCTCTCCCTCTCCCTCTGCCCCCACCCACGCTTGCACAGGCACACATGCACTCTCTCTCTCTCAAAAAAAAAAACAAAAAAAAAAAGACCAGTGACCACTAATAGCTACATGGTTTCTTTTTGAGGTGATAAAAATGTTCTATAATTGTGGTAATGGTTGCACAACTCAATGAATATACTACAAAACCAATGAATGTGTACACTTTAAAGGAGTAAATTGCATGGTATGCAAATTATAGCTCTTAATAAAGCTGGGGTTTTTTTAGATTGATTTCTTTATTTTAGATACAGAAAGAGCGAGTAGGAGGAGGGACAGAGACAGACGGAGAGAGAATCTCAAGCAGACTCCCCCCCTGAGTGCGGAGCCTAAGGCAGGACTTGATCCCAAGATCTGGAGATCATGACCTGAGCCGATACAAAGAGTCAGATGCTCAACCGACTGTGCCACCAAGGCGCCTCTCAATAAAGCTGTTTTTTAAAAATTAAAAAAAAAAAAAATTAATTTAGATCCCCACCCCCCAAAAGTAACAACTATAAAACCTCTAAGGAAGCTAAGAGGATTACATAGTTTTTATGACAGAGCAAGATAATATTAACTACATGAGCCTAGGTACTTAAATAGGTTTGTTTCTCCTGTGCAAGAGGAATTTTCTGGGTTATGTGGATTTTCTTTTTGCTCTTGGACCTTTTCATCTTGGGTTCTTAGGGAGTCCTCTGGGTCCATTATAGACCCCAAAAGTTAAAACCAGAGATAGACAGGACCACTTAACTCATGTTCGAACTAAAATCCATTGTGCTTATTTCTTACCACACTTTCTTGAGGCAACGATGAAGGTGTTGTGCAATGACCAGAACATTCCCACCGCCAGGCAAGAAAAGCACTGATAGTAAGGGAATGCCTAGAAGACCACACACCACAGGTCCCCTTCCCTACCCATGATCATGTGCTGAAAACATACCGATCCGCAGCCGTGATCACGCACTCCCTGCCTGCTCTCTGGCACGTACTCCCCTAACCTCTCCTTGTAAAACTCTAGGTGTCCACCTTGTGGGCAGATAGGTGGGTTGTTAAGGCTTAAGAGGCCACCTCCCCCAGCTGCCGGTACCTGAAATAAATTTCTCCTTTCTCTTTTCCAAACCCTCCTCTCTTGACTTATTGGCTACTCCCACAAGAGTGTATCTGAGTTTGTTCGTGACAGTGTTGGCAAACCCAGCCAGGAGCTGTGCTTCTGATTGTCCAGTCCCCTTGGTGTTCCCAGAGACAGAGAAGCCGGTCCCAACAGCACCAGGGTTCACCCACTCCTTTCCTGAGTTAGCAGTTGTGACAGATCGTTCGCTAATAGGGTGGCATTGTTATCATCATCATCATCATTAATTATTAAAATCTATTGTGTCCTGCAAACCATCACATCAAATGTCTACATACTATATGTATATATATATTTATATACATTAACAAAAAGCCTAAAGTCACAAAATATCTAACCGACACAACTTCAGGACACAGATGAAGAAATTTGTAAAGATAAATATAACTGAACATTGTATAGCACTTTATGCTTACGTGGTACTCTCCTATAAAATTGTCTCCTTTACTGATCAAGACAACCTGTAAGATATGCCTAGACTTTTGTGATGTGTCAGGGAATGACAGAAATGAAACCATCTTGGTTTTGTCTGATCTTACTGAGGCTCTTCAGAAATAAAACACACAAAAATATTTGAACGCAACATTTCAGGAAGGTACTAGCTGGTTAGAAGCCTTGATTAACACAGATAAGTGGAACACACAGTCTGGAATAGCCTTATGCTTGACAATCTACAATGGCCTTGTGGGGCTCTGCACTGGGTGTGGAGTCTGCTTGAGATTCTCTCTCTCCCTCTCCCTCTGCCCTTCCCCCCTCCCCTCTCCTCTCTCCCCCCAGCGCACACTCATAAATAAAATAAAATAAAATAAAATAAAATAAAATAAAATAAAATAAATAATAATTGCTTTAACTTTGTGTGTAGCGTGTCTTAGATGTGACATGTCTTAGGGAAAACAAAGAATAAAAGCTTTTGGTTAAAGGCGAAAGCAAGAGTAGTTCAGTTACCCATTCTGGAACAGTAAATGACTCTCTGCATATCCTCCTAATCCTCATCTTACCAACATTCACTATATCATAGCAAACTGTGTGGGCAATGCAATCTCCTGCAGAGGGAGTAAACATGAGGGACAAAAATAAAATTTCAATTTGCCATTTATTCAATATTACCCTCAGTGATTTCACACACGCCAAAACTGAGCAAGAAAAAAAAAACACATCAGGTTAAGTTGTTTCAATTAGAAACTAAATATATGGAAAATGCATTTCTATCTGGAGAGCTTAAATTCAAATTCTTTGGAGAGTACTCTTGATTCCAATGACAATAAGGATCTGCTTCTTGCTTAATTTTTTTTTAAAGATTTTATTTATTTATTTATTTGAGAAAGAGAGAGCACAAGTGGGGGCAGGGGGGCCTGCAGCGGGAGAGGGACAAGCAGACTCCCCACTGAGCAGGGAAACCGACGTGGGGCTCAATCTCAGGACCTCAGGACCACGATCTGAGCCAAAGGCTTAAATGTTGAGCCATCCAGGCGTGCCTGGTTGTTGCATATAATTTGTGAAAGCCATCATTCTAAAATTTTAAGTCACTATAGTAGTATTTCTTAGAGGAAATAAGAAATTGAAAATCGAAAGCAGTGTGTTTGTTGGAAAGACAGAACTTTATAATACAATCCTACGACAATAATCACGTAATAGTAAAAATGCAAAGATGTTAAGACAATGTTATTTAGGATTACAAAATTATCTATCTAGGTAAGTCAATCATGGTCTTACAGTACCATGGAATACTATGTGGCCATTAAAAACAGTGATATAGGTATGTATTTATAAATTTAATAGAGAGGTTAAGGCCTGAGGAATAGGAAAAGCATTCTCTCTTCCATATCTACCACTTTAGACACCAACTATTTTTTTTTTTTAATAACTAAACTATCTTCTTCAGGGTAAAGAAAAACTACCTCCTTCAGTATAGGGAAAAGTCCAAAAAAATGGTTCTGAACCAATTTTGTATAGCTTCGGAACATGGCATATTCCCTAATAACTCTCTGCCTATAGGACAGGGAATTTCTTGGCTCTCATTCACTGCTAGTATCAAAACTGCTCCCCAGTTTCTTAGTACAAATCTTGTATGCCTGACCTGACTCTCCTCTATAGCTTAACATAAATGACATGATAGAAAAATTGAACACAGATCCTCAACAGCGACTTATTTATTAGAACCAAGAATGCTTTAAGAGCCACTATTAGAAGATGTAGTAATATAGTAATTAAATGTGCTAGCTAATACTTAAGTGCCATATACATGCATTAACAAATTTCAAAGAACTCAAAAACACTAACTATACAAGAGTTAAAATAATACTGAAAATTATTTTCATCTCTTTAAGCATAAAAATAATTTGGGATCCTAGAGTACACACGGCAAATTCAGTTATAAGTAATAACCCCTTAAGTTACTTGTTTTCCAAGTTTTATTCACAACAGATCTGCTTCTCTTGAAGCAAAGCATAACTATATTGCTCACAAGCCATTCTATGTTTCTAGGCTTCTTCCCTATCACATTTATCTCTGTTTCACAAATACCATGTGGTCTTATGACAATCCAGTCTTGGCAGTATAAACCAGAATCTTATCAACTGACAGAGTCATTTTCTCCAGAGTTTCAGAAAGTTTTACTAAATAAGTAATTTCTTTATGAAATCCTCACCTTCATCTTTTAATTGGTCAGCTTTTCCCACATCTTCAGGGACTGAGTTTGAGAGAGGCAGAATGTCATTCTGAAATTAAATAAAAATCAATGTATTTCCATTTAGCTAAATAAAAGAGTCATCCCACAGAACTATAAATAATAATGAATAACTAGTACAGTAACTCATCTGTAATTACATGTAATGAAATTTAACTTGTAAATAAATGGGTTAGAAAGAAAAAGGGTAAAAGTCCTCTCATACATACTTTTATTAGAAAAATGAATATGTAGAATTTCTCTAGAAAATAATGGACTACTGTGAATCAAAATTTTTTACTTGCTTTTCTGAGATCAAAAAATTCTACTTCATGCACAACAAATATAAATAATCAGTATACTTAAAATACTATAACCATAAAATAAAGGCAAATTATAACATGGGTAATGGAAATAAATTGACTAGTTTACATTTATGCTACAAGTTTATTATGTATTTTATTGACAAATACATTTTTAGTGAATGGAAATGCTTCACTGTTTTTAAATGAACTTGCTGTTGGAAATAAATTCATTATATTTATAAATAAAAACAGGATATTTTGTTATCCAGATTATGTATTAGCTATAGTCGTGAAGCTTTGTTTTTCTGAAATTCCTAATAAATTCTATTAAATTCTAGTAAAATAAATAAATAAATAGCTAACCAGTATACAAAGACTAGGAATAGAAATATGTTCAAGAGATTGTTTATATTAGTGAAAATCTTGAAACATGTTTAATATCCAAAGAAATATCCTAGTAAGTCAAATTCACAGTTTACAAAAAGAAGCATTAATAATATGACCTTATTATTTAAATATGTGCACAAACACATACACATGCACACAGGCTAAAAAACAATGACAGGAAAATTCTAACACAAAGGGTTAACTGTAATATTTGGAGGTAAAATTTTCAGTCTCTTCTTTATATCTTTCCACGTTGACCAAATTTTTTTAAACAATGGACATATATTAATTTCATCATAAAATTAAAAAACAATGTAAATTTCCTGTTTTCAGTAGTTACTATCATCCTCAAACCTCCTTTGCATTCATAAGGTTCAAACCAAAGGCACATGCAGAAATATCTTGAGTGGCACTGGGAACACAATGCATTTTTCCATTTTTGAAAGATCTTTTTTAAATTGTGCTCCTTTACACTTGACTCCGAAGTTCATGAGTAAATCTACAGTTTTTCAAGAAAACATAATTTGTAACTAATATACCTATGTACTACATTTAGAATATGTCCACCATGTTCTTTGTCTTGACTAAGGTTTCACAGAACTTGTTAACTCTAATGATGGAAATATACTTCTCTAATTACACAAAAATTTCCACAAGTATAAAATCATTCATCAAGTACATGAGTTCTTATTTTTTGTAATCTTTCTCTACTAATCAGTTTTTCTAAACATAAAGTATCGGAATAAAATGGAATAAAAAAGTACAGAATCGAAATGGGAATCCTTGTAACTAGAGGTCACTACTTAAAACTGACTATGGTCTCCTAGGATGTAAGTGTAGTTCAAGGACACAGGACTGCCCTGCGTACTTGCTGTCAGGGTTTCTTCCATTTCACATCTTCTAACAAGGCTGGGCATTTAATGCATGGGGGAAAAGTGGCTTTTTTGAGTCACAAAAAATGGCATATTGATAAATGGACTCTAATCAGTTCTGTCTTCTAAATCCTTCTGAATTATTTTAATGAAATTGCCACAGTTTTACATCTTTGAAAACTAATTCTCACATTCATTGAATACATTTGAGCAGCCCATAACATGGGGACAAGGGTTATCTACTTTATATAAAAGGAACGAATCCATTTAGTATATAAACTTAACTGGGGAGGAAAAACACAAGAGCAGTATCCTAAAACTAAAATGACCAACATAACAACCAAGGACCCTTGGTGAGACGAATAATTTCTTTTTTTCTAAAGTTTTTATTTTAATTCCAGTTAGTTAACATACAGTATTATATTAGTTTCAGGTGTACAATATAGTGATTCAATAATTCCATACATTACCTGGTACTCACCACAAGTGCCCTCCTTAACCTATCACCTATTTCACCCATCCCCCACCCTCCACTCCTCTGGTGACCTCAGTGTGCTCTCTATAGTGAAGAGTCTGTTTCTGGGTTTGTCTCTCTTTTTTTTTACCCTTTGCTTGTTTGTATGCTTCTTAAATTCCACACATGAGTGATATCATATGGTGTCTGTCTTTCTCTGACTGACTTATTTCGCTGAGCATAATACCCTCTAGCTCCATCCACGTCGTTGCAAATGGCAAGATTTCATTCTTTTTGATGGCTGAATAGAGACAAATAATTTCTTTAATTATAACAATTTTGATGCTGCTTCGGGCAAGTTTGAGACTCTCTCTGAGGTACTCTGCTAACAAACACGTATGTGATGAAGTTGCTGCTGTTAAATAAGAATAACAAAGAACTGACACCACAGATAACACTATGCAGATACACAATGGAGCCAGTTCCAGGAAATTATATTTTAAAAATAGTAAGTAAAAAAATTTTACAATTAAATATAATCAGAGGGAAATAGTAAGAGAGAAAGAAAAGAGAGCCCTACTTAAACAGAATGCAAAAGTCAGTTTGAGCCTACTGGGAGGTAAAGAAAAGTTCTGATCTCTTTAGTATGAGGTCAACAGTGACAGGAGCTAAGGAATGAGCAAATCCAAATGTTGTCTCAAGCACAGGCCTCTTGGGCATCTAGGAGTTAAATAAAGTCAGCTTCAACCATGGGCATATCCAGCCACTGAAACGGGGCTCCCTAAGGAGGCCAGAAGCCCAGACAATCAAAGAACCACAGCAACCAAAGCAAAGCAAAGAGGAATTCTCTGATGGGGAGCACATAGACATGTCACTATCTCCTTACATCTTTGTCATAGAATTAGAATTGATCCGTCTGATAACTGCACTATTCTTTTTTCTAAGTACAGAAAGAGAGAACAGTATATTGCCAAATTGCCATCTTCATTGCAACTCTCAGAACCTCTTCCAACAAGTTCTAGAAACAGTCAATGTGGTAGTCTCAGCAATGTCCCTGCCAGGCTGAAGCATACACTACATGCTGTAGCCTCTCCCCTCAGTTCCTCATTCCGTATTGAAGCTTGAATACAGAACTAGAATAACAAAAGGAGTTCATGAGGCACCAAAATGTAATGAAAAAACACAGGGGAGGTCACCCTGGGGCCCTAAAGTCAGTAACCTTAAAATTTTTCAGACAGTTTAAGGGACACCTGGGTGGCTCAGCTGGTTAAATGTCAGACTCTTGATTTCGGCTCAGGTCATGATCTCAGGGTTCTGAGACTGAGCCCTCCACGGGGCTCCGCACTAGGCATGGAGCCTGCTTAAGATTCTCTCTCTCCCCCTTCTCCTTCTACCCCTCGCTGCTTCCTGCTTATGCTACTCTCTAAAAATCAATCAATAAACAAAACTGTCTTTGAAAAAAAATTTTTTCAGGCAATTTTATGGTCCATGTTCCCTAAAAAGGCCAGAAACCAGAGACCATTGTAAACAGTTCTCGAGAGCACGGATATCAGAAAACTTGGTTTTCGGCGTTACTTTTTGCACAATGACCTTGAGCTTTCCCCTGTTTTAAAGAGCCCTATCAATGGCCAAATTTGATGAAATCTGCTTCAAAATGATGATTCAATTCCTGACGAATCTATTTTTACATAGTTGCTTCATAAACAGGAAAATTTTGTTTTTAACCTGTATCCCATGTCAGAAATCTAAAAATGCTCAGATACTATAAAGGACTTAAAAAGCAACTAAGACATATCATTAAATATAAAAGAAGGTGAGAGGATGCGAATAGCTACTAATATGAAAATCTAAAGCATGTTAAAATTATATTTTAGGTCCCCAATCACATCCATGTGACTATCTAACTTAAACCCAGGAAGAAGTTAGTTACGTAAAGGCCTAGCCACTCAAATGTTAACAACTTAACATAATTACCATAGTCATACTTAAATCAGATACTAATGAGAAAACAGTGACAGCTTACCTTACAGAAGGAATTGGTGAACATTTCTGTCAAAGGCTGTGAAACTGCTAGATGGGTATCTTCTGGGCTGATTTTAAAAACTGTCTCCAAGCACTGAATTGCAACTTGAAATAAATTTGAATAGTGAAAAAAAAAAATTAACAACCTAAAAAAAGAAATGACCTTTTTTTCTGGTAGAAATCTGCACTCAGTGCAATCTGTGGTAATTCAGTATTTATGATCAGAGAACATAAGGAAAAACTAAATGGTTCAGCTACATAGAGATTTCTGTTTATAGACCAGCTGCTAAGGGAAGACAACTTGATTTCTTATTCCTTACTTAAGGAAAAATGTTACCTAGAATATAATTTCTCAATATATCCATTACATCATATTCTTATTGAAGCAGGTCATTAACAACTGATTCCTCTCTGCCAATATCTGATTAACCACCAATGTTCTAATGCCTTGAATAAAACAAAAAAATCTTCTTTTTAATGTGAGAAACAGAATTCTCAACCTGACCAAAAATAGTAACAGAAACAAATTCTGGCTCATAGGAGGCACTAAATATTAATCCTGGCATATTTACTTAGGTGAAAATAAGTGGGCTTTTTTTTTTTTTTAAAGATTTTATTTATTTGACAGAGAGAGACACAGCGAGAGAGGGAACACAAGCAGAGGGAGTAGGAGAGGGAGAAGCAGGCTTCCCGCGGAGCAGGAAGCCCGTGCGGGGCTCAACCCCAGGACCCTGGGATCATGACCTGAGCCGAAGGCAGACGCTTAACCGACTGAGCCACCCAGGCGCCCCGAAAATAGGTGGGCTTTAAAAAAATTCATTCATGCCTGCAAATTTACCCCAAGCTCCTACTATGTGCAAGGTGCTATTCTAAGGTGGTAGAAACATAGCAGTTAACCTGAGGACAAAAATCGCTATCCATGTGATGAAGCTTACATTTTAAGAGAAGGTGGCAGACAAGCAGAAAAATACATGGCATGCTAAATGGTGATAGGTGTGTCATCTGCATTCGGTGTATGACAAGAAAACTGATGTGGCCAGGGTACGGATGGGATGGAAAGATATGGTGGGAGATTATGCTAGAAAGCAAGTCTGTTGTTGGATGACAAGGCACCTTATATAACGTTCTCAAAGAATGTGCACTTTATACTACAGGCAAATGGAGAGCCATTAAAGAATTCACTGAAGAATAATATAACTGGATTTGTGTTTAGAACTAAAAGTCTGGTAGGAATGCTAAGAATGAATTAGACAGGGAATAAGATACAGGCCTTATCCTCAGAGACAGTCTAATGTGGGAGACAGACAGTTAAATGCATGTAACACAGTATAATAAGTTCACTAAGAGAAACATGTACCAGCTACACAACAGAGTAAAGGAAATGACCCCTCCGATCAGGGAGGGTTCCCACTTAAATGATCTAAACAAACAAGGGGTCCAAACCAGGGCAATTACAGGAAAGAAAGCTATCCTGTCGTTTCTATGAGTACTCATGGAGGGGAATGGAGGCAGATTCTCATCTTGAGGATGCTCTCCTTTGAAAAGGAATTCTCTCCTGGTTCCATAAGATGAGAATGAAGCCCAAGTGTCCAGTGTACTTCCAGACAGTGTGAAAGAGATTCACTTACATTTGTGGAGGACTTTTTATTATTTGTATTCAATATAAGTTAAAAACAACACAAAAACAGTTCACCCACTTCTCTCACCCCACTCCCCACCTCTGACAACCACCAATCTCTTCTATCTATGTGCTTGGTTGGTTTATTAGCTTCCATATATAAGAGAGATCATACAGTATTCATCTTCCTCTGTCTGATTTATTATAGATTCACTTATATTTGTGTATGACTTCTAAAAGATACATTATGTATTAATTGTGGTCTTGACAAAAATACGTCTGTCACAAAAGAAATACTATTATTTTTTCTATCCAGAGAACAATTCTCCTTAGAAAGGGACTGAATAAGCAACTAAATTACCAAGTATAAGAAGTCAGAGTGTCTTTTACATAGAACATAATCCACTGTTTACCCATTCCTCATTCTCTCAATTTCTATTCTTGCCAAGCGGCTGTTCTCAAACTTCAGTCTGTACCAGCACTAAAAACACTGGGCCACAAGGAAACAGGCTCCCATTGCCATGAAGACAGTCAATGTAAACAACAATAATAATAATGGTTAATATACGTGTGTGTTTATGTGTATATATTTATTCTTGATCAGTATTTTTCCTCCCTGATCAGAATGGTCATTGCCTTTACTGTGCCATGTTGTTGGTACCTGTTTCTATTATTGAACTTATCATACTATATTACATGCGTTTAAACGTCTGTCTCCCACATTAGAGTGTCCCTGAGGATAAGGACTGTATCTAACTCATCTCTGACTTTAACAGATCTGGCAAATAATAGGTGTTCAATAAATTTAATCTATGTCTTTGTTTACAGTGGAAGTAATAGTTTAATTATAGAGGAAATAACAACAATAAAATCTGTAGAGAAAAGCACTTCTCCCCTCCAAAACATTAATGCATGGCCATGGGAAAGAGGGGTAGTACACAACCAAGTCTGTAACCAAAACCCACAGTATGTAACTTTACTGTTAAACACTGACAGGTGGAAAGTCCATGTGGTAACTGAGGGATTTTTATGCTCTATCCTGTTGAGGAAATTCAGTCCAGCTCCTTTATCTCTGCTGCCACTAACCTTAAAACACAGATCTGGTACATAATAGACACAATTAAATATCATTAAAGGAGGTGGCTGTTCTGTTTTGAACACAATTATTTGGCCTGTGTTTTTTCAAACCACTTTACTGAGGTATGATTGACATATAAAAAGCTGTTCATGGGGCGCCTGGGTGGCTCAGTCGTTAAGCATATGCCTTCGGCTCAGGTCATGGTCCCAGGGTCCTGGGATCGAGCCCCACATCAGGCTCCCTGCTCGGTGGGAAACCTGCTTCTTCCTCTCCCACTCCCCCTGCTTGTGTTCCCTCTCTCACTGTGTCTCTCTCTGTCAAATAAATAAAATCTTTAAAAAAATAAAAAAAACAAAATAAATAAAAAGCTGTTCATATTAATGTCTATAACTCCATGAGTTTGGGGATAAGTATACACCCATGAAACCATCACTACCATTGAGGCCGGAGACATACTCATCGCCTCCCAAAGTTTCCTCTCACCACCTTTATTCTCGTGTGTACGTGTGTAATAAGAACACTTAACCTAGATCTACCTTCTTACCAAACTTTTAGTACAGAACACACTTGGTGATAGGCACTAGGCAGACTAGTAAGTCCTCAGAACTCAATTATCTTGCATAACTGAAACTTTGTACCCTCTGACCATCACCTCCCTATTTTCTCCTTCCCCAGCCCCTGGCAACTATCACACTACTCCCTGATTCTACGAGTTTGACTATTTTAGATTCCTTATATAGATAAACAGAATTGTTTGATAGGTAAATCCAGTTGCCAAAGTGTTTAGCCTTGATGATGATGGTGTGGGTGGAGAGACTGAGGCAAAGGCCCAACTGGAATAGGTTCAAAAAAGAATAGGAGAGGAATTAGAAAAGGTAAGTATAGACAGCTCTTTCGAAGAGTTTTCCAGCACAAGGAACACAAAAAGAGTAAGCAGTAGCGGCGGGGGGTAGGGGGGAGGGCCTGGGAGGGGGGTAGTATGACAGGAACTCAGGACTACCTCGTTACCATTTTTCATCCGATCAAAAAAAGTCAAATAACCTAGGTGCAATAATTTATCTTATATCACCTCAAGATTCTCATTTATGAAACAAGGATTATTACATTTGATCCTCCTTTCAGGAGGTCATACTCAAGAATAAGTCATACAAATATAAACAAATACTGCATATAATTATTGTTCCACTTTAACAACAAACAATAATTGTGCATTTGGTACTGATGAGGAGCAGGGCAAGTGAAGAGCTCTATTCAACACTACCATATCCCATCTGTACAGCACTTTATTCAAAAGCTACCATATGCTAGGTACCTGCCATCACTAATTCTGATTCTCTTGACGAATCTATCAGATGGAGAGGAGGCAGACAGCTTCACCTAACAGACTGAGAAATTAAGATACAGACCAACTGAGTGATAGGCCCAGGATCACTTGACTCAATTCATCAATTCAATTCAACAAATACTTACTGAGCACCTACCATGTGTCAGGCAATTTTCTACATGCTTCAGATATATCAGTGAATAAAAGAGAAAAAATCCCTGACCTCTTGGGGCTGGCCTTTTGGGGCAGGGGTGGAGAGGTAGGCTATAAGCCATAAAAAGTAGAGCAGGGCAAAGAGATGCAAGTATGGAGAGCAGAGCAGGGAAGCAGGCTGCAGACGCAAGAGTGCCCAGCATAGGCCTCCTTCAGAAAAGAGATCTGAGACTCAGACTTGAGTCAAAAGACTCAAAGAAGATGGGGGGTATTACCATTAACTGGAGGAATAACAATCTAAGCAGCAAAAAACAACTACAACAGAAGCCTTTAGGAAAGAGGATGTCGTGTATTCAGAGTTAGGAAGCTAATTTGCCTCAAGACAAATGAGAAAGGGGAAGAGTCTGTGAACAACACATCACAGAAGACCAAATTATATAAATCCTTTAAACCATGACTAAGTAACATGAGGAGTCACTGTAAGATTTTGAGTGGAGAAATGATAGAATCTGACATACTCTGTTACACTTTTTTAAAATTTTTTAAAGATTTTATTTTTAAGTAATCTCTACACCGAACGTGGGGCTTGAACTTAAAACCCCAAGATCAAGAGTCACATGTTCTACTGACTGAGCCAGCCAGGCGCCCCGACCTACTCTGTTTTAAAAGATCACTGGCGGTTGTGCTGGGAATATTCAAGAAAGCTGCAAGAACAAAAGCAGACAGACTAGTTAGAGGCTACTACATTAAAACAGATGAGAAACACTTAATTCTACCCAGGGGTGACATAAGTGCAGGTGGGAGGAAATGGTAAGACTCTAGATATATTTTGAAGGTACAGCCAACAGGATTAACTAAATGATTAAATGCAGAGTCTGAGAGAAAAGAGTCCAGAATGATGCCCAAATTTTGGGCCTAAGCAACTGAAAAGACAGAGTTGCCATCAACTGAGATAAGGAACAGATTTTGGGTGGGAGGATCAGGAGTTCAGTCTTGGAAATGTTCAGTTTGAGATGCCTATTAGACATAGAAGCAGAGATAGCTAGTAGGCAGTCGGATATAAAAATCTGCAGTTCAGAAGGAAGGTCTTGACTGAATGCTGAGAAACTGAATGATACCATAAAAAAAGTGAGTATGGATAGTGAAGAGAAGACCAAGCACGGGGCCCTGGGCACTCCAGGTCAGGGAAAAGAAGAGACTAGTAAAGGAGATGGAAGGAGCAAGCAATGAGATAAGAAGAAAACTAAGAGAGCGTGAGGAGGTATCCTGAAAGCCAACTGAATCAAGTATAGGGCAGTGGCGGTGGTGGCGGGTGGGGGGGAGATGAGGAAGATCATCAGCTTTATCAATGGCAGCTAGTAAGACAGATGGAGACAGAGAACTGACCACTGAAATAAATAACCCAGAAATCACGGATGACCTTGATGAGAACAGTATGGGTAGAGAGACTGAGGATAAGGCCTAACTGGATTGGGTTTAAGAAAGAATAGGAGAGGCATTTTTTTTCTAATTTTTTTAAAAATTATTTTATTTATTTATTTGAGAGAGAGAGCAAGCGAGCACACAGAGGAAGATGGAGAGGGAGACGGAGAGGGAGAAGCAGACTCCCCGCTGAGCAAGGAGCCTGAAGTGGGGCTTGATCCCAGGACCCTGGGATCATGACCTGAGCCGAAGGCAGATGCGTAATGACTGAGCCACCCAGGTGCCCCAGGAGAGGAATTTTTAAAAGCAAATATATACAATTCTTTCAAAGAGTTTTCCAGCAGAAGGGGAAGACAATAAAAGTAGGCAGTAGTTTGGAAGCAGGGGGCTAATATGGCAAGAGTAATTAGCTGCTGTTTTTGCTTTTTTAAGAAGGGAGAAATGATGAAAAGTATATTCTGATAGAAATGATCCAGGACAGAGTGAAGATCTGCTGAGGTACAACAAGAAGGGTAGAATAACTCGAGTGATACCCCAGAGTAGGTGAGACAGGACAGAATCAGATCCAGTGTGCCAGTAGAGAGGTTTCATTTAGAAAAGACAATGGATGGTTCATCTATGGTGTCTTAGTCTGTTTGGGCTGCTCCAACAGAACACCATAGGCTAGGTGGCTTATAAACAACAGAAATTTATATCTCAAAGTTCTGAAGGCTGGGAAGTCCAAGATCAAGGTACTAGCAAATTCAGTGTCTAGTGAGGACCTGTTTTCTGGTTCCCAGATGGTGCCTCTTCACTGCGTCCTCACACGGTGGGAGCAAAGGAGCTCTCTGGGGTCTCTTATAAGAGCACTAATCCCAATCATGAAGGCCCCACCTCCTAAAACCATCACAATGGGCATTAGATTTCAACATATGAATTTCGAGAAAACACAAATACTTAGCCCATGGCATATGGTAATAGCTAGGCAGGCAGGCAGAGTGTGTGGGTGTGTAGATGCTGGTGTGTGGAGAGAGGGGACGGGGGAGTCTGTGGAAGTTATTTTCTTATTACTTTAATTCTCTTGGTGGAGTAAGAAGCAAGGTCATCAACTAAAAGTGAGTACAGGGGAAAAGGTTTGAGGGCTTGAGAAGACAGGAGAAAGTGTTAAAGTAGTGGTCTGGGAGAGCAAAAGTATGAAAGAACCTGGAAGAGACAGTGTGATTGCCAGGCAGCATTAAAGGTCCGCTTGAGGCTCATGGTCATGAATTCAAAGTGGGACCAATCGGCAAAGTTGTATGTTTTGTTCCATCTATACATAGTCACATGGATATGAACACAGAGTTGGTGGAGAGCTGAATTTAAGCAAGGTTGGGTTTTACAAGAAAGGCAGAGATATACAAGGGCATGAACATAATGATGAACCATGGAATCTAAGCAAGGGAAGAAGAGGGGTGTGAAAGGTCAGGGATCAACAGACTGGAGGTACCACAGGGTCAAAGATTGTTGAGGTAGGGATTATAGAGGGAATGAGCGGCAAAGACAGGCTGTAGTGGTCAGGAAGTGAAATGTTTACAATAGAGATCATGGAGAGAATGCAGTTTCAATAATGAGAAGGTCCAGGGAAGAGTTTCTCACCCTTGGCACTACTGACAATTTAGACTTTGTTCTTGGGCTATCCTGTGCCTTACAGTATGTTTAGCAGTATTGATGGCTTCTACCCAGTAGATGCCAGTAATACCAGCCCTCAGTGGTGACAATTAAAAGTATCTCCAGACATTGCAAAATCACCCTGAGTTGAGAACCACTAGTCTAGGGTATGACCATGCGGCTGAGTAGTTGAGATCACCGGAGGACAAGGAGGTCAAGGAACAGAGTGCCGAGAGAACTGAAAGAAACACCTATGAGGTGGTTGCAATTGCCAAGAATTCAGACAGAGTAGTACTAGAGAGAGTGACAGGGAACAGGAGCACATAAAACAGATGTCAGTAGGTGACAACAGTTAGGAGTGGGTGACATTAGCTGATGAAAAAGCTCAAAGCTGATAAGACTGTAAGACCTTACCACTATGGTAAGCCTGGTACTAGAACTTTGGATCCTTTTCTAGGGGTTTTTTAAATGTCTAGAAGGTGGGCAGACTTCTCCACATGATTTCATACTCAATTAAATTAGACTCAGAGTCAAAAATAGGGGTCGGTCAAAAACAGTTGGCACCATTTCTGACTGCCATATATAACAAACAGCTGAAGGCACATATTTTTGGCTGAAGACCATCCTAAAAATAGGACATAACATCTTGATTTTTAAAAAAAACCTCTCAATTTTCTTTCTGGCCCTTAGAAGGATGTATTATACTGCCTTTGATTAGAAAAGAAACATCTTTTATTAAATGGTTGCTTTTATCTGTTTGCTACTGAGCAACCATAACCAGTGTTTTCTTTAGATAACCAGTCACCTTTACCTTCACATAGTTTAACCATCAAGGAGGACAAAAAGATCTTAATATGAAATGAACCGACTGCAATGCTCTCCAACTGTGTGTCACCTATTCCTCTGACTGCCACCTGGAAAGACAGCGTCTCACCAGATTGCAAGCAGATTTACAGCAAATGCCCAATTTTCATCCCCACCTCTTAAAAGCATATTCACAATGAAAGTGCTTATTGAAATTAATAGATTCATCCCCTTGATAGGAGGAATAGCTTCAAGATGGCAAATCAAATTGTATTATAATCTATTAAATTCTCCCAAATGTAGTCTCATTGCAATAATTAAGTCTTTAAGGAAGCTACACTCATTCAACCTCCATAAGCCCATCTGCAGGATTCTACCCTGTTATGGTTATACTGAATTTAAATTTTATAATGCATAAATGTGAAGCAGAAAAGATGGTGTTCAAGGAAACACGTGCTGCTATCATCCAAGTCCTGCTCAACTTCACAGATTACCAAATCTAATATTTAAAGCTCACACAGAATAGTGAAATCCTCTCATTTTCAAATCCCCAAATAGAAAGTTGTCAGAGCTTAATTGTGATGTAATTATTACACTTTTACATACTGCTTTTATGATGACTAAGGTATTTTCATATATTGATTCTAAATGGGATGCTTTCCTATCAGGAAGAGACAAGATCTTCAGAGTAAAAACCAGGATTTAAACCTCAACTTGGCCACATTCCACTGTTATGTCACTCAATCTATCTGGTTTCATTTCATTATCTGTTAAGTGAGGATAATACTAACTTAACAGTTACTATAGAGAAAAAATTCCCTACAGTATGAACAGCATAGTTCTGACACATAACAGTTGTTCAACAAATGAACAATTGTCCTCGTATTGTGTTAATTAAAACAAGCCTCAGAAAATGGAAACACAATCTTTCTTATTGAAAGATCAATAAAATATTTTAATTTTGTTTTAATAGATCATAAAGTCAGGCTTATAGCTATTTTAGCCTTTGTTTACAATTACACACAAATGAACATAAAGAGCAGGTGCCTACCTTCCAAACTTTCTTGTTCATCTGAAGTATAAGCATCCATCTGACTTTGTTCCCGTAAGAAACGAATAACTGCATAAACTAAGTGCTTGATAGATGACATTTTAAAAGCTTAAACACTTTTCCTTGATAAGAAAAATGGAAAACAGAGATCTAAGTTATGTTCAAGAATCCATCAGGAAGGTTATAAATAACTAGATTATAAATTACATCAAAAGTAAAAAGCAAAAACAGAACCTCTATTACCTTCATTCTTCTTTTTAAAGAGTCAGGAGAACACAAAGTGTTGTTATGGTAACGTATTACATATTTTCACTTATACCCAGTAGTATTAGATTATGTTAAAACCTGCAAAAGTAAATTTTTCTCAAAACATGTAGAACATAAGCTTAGACTCTCACTGAATATCTCACTCTTAACAGTATATATAGCGCAGATACAGATCAAGACAGGGGAATAGATACAGATGTAGAAATCCCCAAAAGGCCTCTGTACTAAGTTGAGGGAGATTTCATACTGCTGACTCAGAAGCTCATCTACAATAAGCATCTTCCTCTATTTCATGAGATTTTTTAAAATGTATGTATACTTTACCGTGCACCAACTTTTGTAGGGTTAGACTGTTATTTGAGGAGGAAATATATTAATGGAAGGGTGTTCAACCATTGAATGTCATTCTTAATAAAAATGGCATTTCTATTTAATCAAGACATGTCGGAAAATCATTGCCTAAGTCGATGGATACTACACACCGACCAGTGCTCTCTGCAGTAGCTGTGCTCTCGTGGACAAGCTGGAAGCTCCCGGTCATGTTCATTCACATGGAATACTATCGCATCCAAACAGTGGCGCAGGGCCAGCCGGCCTTAATGGCTTATTTCCACTAAATCGCATCATCCATCTGTTCCCCAGGTTCCCTAATCCAAAGCCAGGGTGTGGTACTCACCGCCAGGATGTTTATGGTTTCTGGGCTTATTTTAAAGGCGAGCCCAGTCTTTAGGCCATGGGCTTGCAAATACTAAATAAGGCCCCAGGGCAGAAGGTGAAAAAAAGAATGGGGGGCAGAGAGGGTGAGGAGGAGAAACGAAGATATTCAACCTCCTCCAGGCTTCTCCCCCTTCTTCTCCCCAGAGCACATTGACCTCCTTCTCCCTCCGTTTCTACCCGGGCCTCGTTTTGGCCCAGACGGGGTTTGCTGCGGGTGCGCGGTGCAGGCCCCATCTGGGGCAGGGGGAGACGCACCCATCCCAGACAGAAGCCCCTTACCAGGCGAGAGGACGCGAGACAGTGGCAGCGGGCCCGGGGGCGTCCGTAAGCCGGGACGCCCGCCCCCTGGTCCTCCGGCTTCAGCCTGGCTCCCGATCGCAGCACTGCCAACGGTCGCTCAAACTTCCCCGGCTCCCAGGCCGCCGTCGCCCCTCAGCCCACCCGGCTGCGCGCTCCGCTCCCGGCCACTGGGTCTCCCCAGAACCGCCCCCCGGGCGGTGCCAGCGCGCGGGGCGGGGCGCAAGTCGGGGGGGCGGGGCCGAAGTGGGCTCCGGCGTGGGGCCAGCGCACGTGGGCGGGTGCGGACAGGGCTGGCCGCCGCCGCAGCTGTTGCCTCCTGCGCTAGGCCTCCTCTCGGCTCCCAGGCGCCCCGCATACCCCACCCCAGACCCGAGGACAGCGCGCCCGCCGCCGCCGTCGCCTCTCGGCCCTCCCATGATCGCCCAGTGCCTTTCGGCTGTGCGAGGCCTCCACAGGTACCTCCCGTGCGCGGGTTAACCTTGGCTGTGGGCAGGGCGTGGTGCCGTCCGTGCCAGGTGCCTGTGCTCAGCCTTTCCCGAGCGTACCCCTCCGACGCCCTTAGGACTCTACGTCCCCCGGCCCGCATGCTCTACCCTGAGGGACACCTGGCGCGGACACTTGGGACCACCTTTCTCTCCTCCACTCCCTCGGGAGGGCATCCATTCCTCTTTGTTTGGGACTGTCTCAGCTGCAGCCAGCAAGACTGGTCACAGGCCTGGCCCGAAATGAATGCAGAAAGATGGTTCGGATAAGAAATCGTTTGACTTCCGCCCCCCATCCAGAACTGCGGACCTCTTATTAAAAGTGCCCGCAGCTGTAGACTCAGGAATAGCAATTCTGATTTGCCCCTCACGCATATCATTAGCATACAAATGGTTTAACAAACACGCGCGATGAAACCGCTATGGTTTTGCTGCTTATCTCGGTCCATGCTTTCTAATTTCCTTTTTATTTACCTCTTCCCCATAAAACATTCGGCGTCTTGCTGGGGCCAATTGACTTGGCCCAAAATGGAGGAAATTATTGCTAGGACACGGTTTGGGGCAGCCTCAGCTGCTGTTTTGGATTGCTTCCTAGCTCCCAAGCCACACCCCTCTGCCACAGACCAGTAGCAAGATGGTGAGAGAATTAAATTCTTTGCACGGATGCACTAGATGGAGTGGTTTTCGGAAACAATGCCTCTACCACCCACATCCCCAAATCCAGCCTTGAACTATAAATCCTAATGAAGATCCAACAGAAAAAAAAGAAATATGTGTTTCTCGCTAGATACTTATAAAACTACTTTGGAAAATGTTCAGCATTTAAGCTTTTTGACAGTTTTCTATTGTATATGGCCACTCATCTGTGTGGAGCTTTGTGTTGCTCAGTCCCTGTAATTATGGTGCATCCAAGGGACAGTAATAATTATAAAGAGTTAATATGATGATTTTTACCATATTTCACACTGTCCTTTTAGTCTGCAGGCTGCAAGTGATGCAGCTTCAAATGCAGCTATACCAACAAATGAAGATACATAACGCAGGTGTGAGAAGAGAATAAATTTTGTGTAAGACAGCCATCCTCAAACTTTTTAGTCTCAGGACCCCTTTACCTTGCAAAAATTACTGAGGATCTAAGAGCTTCTGTTTATGTCGGTTATAACTACCCATATTTACCATATTAGAAATGAAAATTAGGGGATTTTTAAAGTATTCATTTATGTAAAAAGAAAACTAATAAACTCATTACCTGCACAAATAACATTTTTAATGAAAAATAACTGTTTTCCGAAACGCCTCCAAAAAAATCAGAAAGTGGAATTGTGGTTTGGTTTCTTTTTTTTCCTTCAGTTTTTTTTTTTATGGTTGTAAAATATATATAATGTAAAATTTGCCATTTTAATCATTTTTAAGTGCACAATTCAGTGACATTAAGAACATTTACATAGTTGTACAACCATTACCATTATCCATCTCCAGATCTTTTTCATCATCCCAAAGTGAAACTCTGTACCCATTAAACAGTAACTCCTCATGTTCTTTCCCATCCCTGGTAACCACTATTCTTTCTGTCTTTATGATTTTGACTATATTAGGCACCTCATACAAGTGGAATCCTACAGTTTTTGTTCTCTTGTGACTGGCTTGAGTTAGCATGTTTTTAAGGTTCATCCGTGTTGTAACTTAGGTCAGAATTTTCTGCCTTTTTAAGGCTGAATAATATTCCATTGTATCGATATACCACATTTTGTTTGTTTATTCACCTGTCCATGATCACTTGGGTTGTTTCCATCTTTTGGCTGTTTTGAATAATACTGCTATGATCATAGATGTGCACACATCTGTTTGAGTCTCTCCTTTCAGTTCTTTGGGCATGTATACTTAGAATTAGTAGATCCATATGGTAATTGTGTTTAATTTTTTGAGGAACCACTATGTTTCCCACAGCACCTGTACCATTTTACATTCCTGTCAGCAGTGAACAAGAGTTCCATCTTCTCTATATCTTCTCCAACATTTTATTTCTGTTTTTTATAAAAACTGTCCTAGGAGTGGCATTGTTTTACACTTGTGCAAAACAAATGTGTAACTTAATAGAAAATAGCTGAATTCTTAGATCTGCTTCTGCATTTGATATGCTACACTTTTGTTTTGGTTTAAGAAGAAAATCCCACCTCTCACTTATATGTAGTTGGAAAAACGGGAGTATTTAACAGCTTTTTAAAAGTAATCATGGATATGCTTTGATATCATATCAAAGTTTCACAAGTGGTAGTTTTTTAAAGATTAGTTGCAATGCAGAATATGAAACTATCAGTGTACTTTTCGTATTCTGTTACATTAAAATCCATGGATTTTAAATGGATCTTTTACACATACATGATTTTCTAATATCAAACATTGGTTACTTGGAAAATCACAATACACTGTGTTATACAGATCTTCCTAATGTTGACACATTACATTATACAATATCAAATCATATTCCTTTATATCATTGTCCACTCCATCATAAATGTCTTGAGGTATTCGGAAGCTGGCAAGCTCACACTGGCAGATACAATTTTTCAAAATTCTAATTTTCATTTGAAAGCTGAAATTTTATCAGTGGTAACAAATACTATCCATTCCTCGACGTGACAGCTCACTTTGTTACATTTTTGAGAGAACTTCTGCTGAATACTTTACTTTGATCAATCATAGTTTGTCTGTCACTCATCTTTTCAAGTACAAATAGTGTTCCATGAGAAAAGCAGCTATTTCAGCTCCAATTTAATCGGTTGCACAAGTGCTTTTGGTTTGAGCAACCAAATCTTCTGGACAGTCCTGGTGCTCAAGTATACAGCAGAAGTGCTTTATGCATACTTTGCCACACATATCACTCAGTGACTGAGATTTAATAAAATTAAAGATTTTACTATTTCATGAAAGTGAAATTGACATTTTTAGCGTGAGTCATGGCAGTGAAGAATATAATGACTGTTAAGACAGTCTGGTGCCACTGCCTTGACGTGTTCTAAGGAGCCAACAATTTCATCTACCATTGCTTCTTACCATCAGTACAAATGTCAACCAAGTGAAAAAAGTAAATAATATCATACTATTATCATGAAGTACTTGTAACCTCCCAGATGACTTGAAATGGTCTCAACGACCCCTCCCCATATTCCCACCCCCAAGGATGGCAGAACACATCTTGAGAACCACTGATATGTGTTACTCAGATTCTTTGTCTATGCGTGGAAGAAAATAAATATATAAAAAGCCATGCAATTATTATCTTGTTAGAAGCTGGTAACCAACTAAATATATCAACTATTTTGTTACTTAACAGCATAATATTACAGTTAACATATATAGCAGTAGTAGTCATTAACTTATGGCACTTGTGAGTGACTTAATCACAGAATCTTTGTTTCGAACTCTGTCCTCTAAAAAACAGTCAATACTAGACAACGTGGAAGGCCCTGTATGCTCTCTTGATGTATTTTTTCCTGTTTCTTCCTACACTTGGGAGTTCGTTTTAGTGTTTTAAGAGTAACTAGGTTTTTGTTTACTGGCTTAGGATTTATTTTGTGTTCTTCTCTTGGTAGAGCTGCTATACCCCCTTCCCAAAGCCAGTTGGACAGCCAGGATGATTGATGGGGTCGTAGGCCAATTTCTTAGGAATAAGGGGACAGAGAATCTGAAAACTGGTTGTAGTTGCCATTTAGATAATCTTGTGACCTTAAGTAAATCACTCAATATCTTGGATCTCTCTCATGTTCCTTATTTTGTAAAATGAAAAGGACTGGACTCAATGATACTTAAGATTTTGTTGCCATAGCAATTAAACCAGGTGAATTTCTCCTCCTTTCTCAGCCAGATTACACAGAATATGAGCCAAGCAAAATCTGATGCATACTGTAGAGTGAGGGATGGATGGCATTGTCAAAAAAGCAAATAAGAAAGATGACTCAACGATATTTAGTCCAAATTTTATATATTTATATATATATATATATATATAAAATGGCCCTAGTTTCCTCATTCAATTAAAAAAATAACTGTGGTTTTAAAAATTATGACAGCAATGCATGTTCATTGTAGGAAACTTAGAAAATATTCACAAGCAAAAGAAACACAGTCCACCCATCCAGAAGAACCAATTGTTAACAGCTCCCAAAATCTTTTCTACATATAGACACTTTTTTTTTACAAATATGGGATTATACCATATTTTTATAAGTCTTATGTACTGTAAACATCCTTCCATAATATAGTTACAATGTAGTCCATTTAGAAATGTGTGATAATTAATCCCTACTTTTGAACATAACAACTTTTTCCACTTCCTGCGATGAGTAATAGTGCTTACTTAGATAAATGTTCTTGCTCTTAAGTCTTTTGCCAAATCCTTAATTATTTCATTAGTATAAGTTCTTAGCAATGGAATTTGTACATCAAAGGGCATGTACATCTTCCAGGCCTTTGGCACTTACTATCCTAGTTTTCTCCAAAACATTCCACCAAAATTACCCTCTTACCAGTGGAGTGTGTAAATGCTAGTTTCCTACACCATTACCAACACTGACCATCTTAATAATTTTTACCTGTATCAGTCTGTGAAGCAGGAAGTTTTCTTATAATTTGCATTGACTTGCATTTTTTTGAGAGTTTATTTGGTGAGTTTAATTCTTTAATGAAAATTCAGGACTTGTGATCTGAAGACCAAAAAGTTGTTTGTTTCTGGTGTGAGAATTTATTCATATGGGAAGTCTCAGAAAGTTAGACAAATTAAATTATAGTTATTTATAAATTTAACAATATTTCTGTATCTTAACTGGAATTAAATAAAATTTCAATTGTCCCCCCAAATCCAGTAGCTAGAAACCCCAGAATTTTAGGACAATGGTGCTAGAAAAAAATACCAATGAGGGAAAGGTTTTAAGTTATAAATATCAAAGGCTGGACTGAGATTATTTGTAAAAATG